GTTCAGAGGAAAAATAAAAAACTGAACAAAACCAAATATTGTTCATAAAACAAAGTAAAGTAGAATATCCAAAGTCTCTTCAGTATCAGCTGCTGTTCCTCCATCATCACCCCTGGATCCACTGCTTTCCTCTGCTCCTTCATTAACTTCTTGCTCTCTGCCTCTGGCATCCAAAAGATGAGAAGTCCCTGCTTTAGTTTCATGACTAGAAGTCCCTGCTTCAGTTTCATGACTAGCTTTTTCTCCCCCTTTTTGATCAGAAAGATTTTTTTCGAAGCACTTCCACCATGGACTGGTGATAGGTAATCTGAGCTAGAGAGTGAGTAATCTGTTGTAACAAGAGATCTCTAGGAACAAAAACAAGATTGTCAGGAGTGTTGTCAACATGAGGAGCAACACCTTCAGTACCCAGATTATTTTGACCTGATTCAGTTGAGAGAAAATTATCTCCATTCCAGGGAAGATCTTGGACATGAGGAGCTTTGAGAAAATTTTGAGAAACAGTTATCATGCCAAGTGGAGTGTGAAGATATTTTGATTCATCTTGGCCCAAATTTTGAGAAAGTAGAATGGAGTAGATGAGAGAAGGATACGAAAGATGAGTGGATGATGAAATTTTCTGGGCAAGATGACCTAAATTATTAAAGAAAAGTTTGCCAAAATCAACTTGTAATCCCATCCCCAATTTGTACATGAGTACTGCATGAGGTTTAGTAACCACAGAGACATTTTTGGATGGAATCCAATTCATCACTGTGAGTCTGAACAAGACAGAATAAAATGCAGTGAGTTGAGAAACTTGAATTTTCTGGGGTGAGCAGGCCAATATTTTAAACGATTGCCATAAAGAGTCTTACAAACCTCAGTAAAGTCACCATAATTATCCTCATCAATCACAGTAGGAGTTTGTAAATGAGAGTTGATAATTTTGGAAGAAAAGGGAGAAAATGGAATTTCGCACAAAAACTTTACCAAACTTTGGAGAATTTTTCTTTAAAAAGAGGTTTGTAAATTGGCATAAAATTCCTTCATAAGGACAGGCAATCTCAACTAGACTAAGGATTTTTCTTTGATCAAGAAAATCAGTAATCCTATGTCTATCAAACTAATCCTTGGAAATTTTCTTCTCCTCAATGAATTGGCAATTCATGATTTGAATCAGATTCAAAATAAAAGGTTGTACTGAAAGTATTGTTTACCTCAAAAGGAGTTGACAGATCATTCCCATTCAATTTCAGCTCTTCTTCCTCAGAAGATTCCTCTTCTTCTGAGTCTTCAAGTTCGCCTGGGATGTATGCTGGCTCAGGTGATGCAACACGTGAGGCAGCATCTTCTTCCATCTGAGATGAGACCTCGGAAGAATCACTGTCTGACTCTGAGGATGGCAAATTCTTGCGGAAAGAGGCAAGGGCGCTTCCCAACTGTCATCACTTTTCTTTTCCTCTTCAGCCTGGGAAGGTGCTGTATCTGCTTGAACTGCTGCTTCTGCCAGGGTTTCCAGGGGGTCAGCATGAGGAACTGATGGAGTTTCTTCAGTAGTGGTGAACTCCTGAGCATCAACAATGGGAATGTCAACATGCGCTGCAGAAGACATCCCAGAAAAATCAGGCATTTCTTCATCCTGATAGGGAGCAGCATCCTCAGCAGCATTCTGAGGAACATTTGTTGAAGCAGTGGGTGCAACAGCATCTTCTGGAACAGGTGCAGCAACACCTTCAGAAACATGTGCAGCAACACCTTCATGAACAGAATGTAGAGAGGCTGTTGTTGCCATGCTAGGCTGTGATGTCTCCCCCTGAGTTGATGCTGGGAGAGGTGAGTTGTTGGATGATGACTCGGAGGAGCTGGAGGACAAGGCTTGAGCCTGTGGTGCAGCAAAGGTAGGATCCCCTGCTTCATCATCAGTTTCTTCATCCACCAAATGAAGACCTCTTCGTGGGTTTGGCCGAACTGGAGTGCGGCCACCTCTGCCTCCTCTTCTTCCACCTCTGCTTCTTCTTCTGGGAGAGTGTTCACCCCTCCGGCGTTGTGACCCAGCAGTATTCAGATCTGGAAAGGGGTTCATGCGCTTGGACCGGCGAGTTGGAAATCTTCCGGCAGTGGAAGAGGGACCCACAAAATCGAAGTTTGTCTGAGTCAATCGGGTTCAGCTCGTCGCCGGGCTCAATGTAGCTGATGGACACGGCTCAGTTATCAAAAAAACCCCGAGTTC